TGGATGAAGACACTCTGTGTGTGACGTGGCGTTTCTGTAGCTGTTACAGTACACGTGTGCTCTGTAGAAGCATCTAGTCTTGATGACGTAGTCTCAAATCTTACTGAATCTCAATACGGATAATCTTTTTTTATCAATTTAAATCTAAAACCCATTTTATTATACAAATTTTTTTTTTTGTTTTGATATGGATTTTAGACAAATCTTTAGGAACTATTCCTTAGGTATTTTCTGAATTTTTTTTGTTAAAGAAGATATTTTTTGTGAATATATTTTTTATTTGTGTGCTCTACTGAATGAATATGTAAATGTAATTTTTATTTTTGATTGAAAATATTCAAGTCACTTTCCTTCGTTGTCATTCATTGTCGGAGCATCCAGAGTCACCGAATATGCTAGAAATTGAACATCGTAATTATGAAGTCAAGCTTTTATCAAATCGTTGCACTTTCAAATTAATTTAAACCCTACTTTATCCAGAAAATTCAAATCGAAAATCACTTAATTACCAAGAAACAATTGGAGATATCTCAAAACATCGTCAACGAACAAGAAACTTTTAATATACAAATCTTTTTTGTTTTGATAAGGATTTTCGACAAATCTTTAGGAACTATTCCTTAGGTATTTTCTGATTTTTTGTGAATATAATTTTCCCTTTTTATTTGTGTGCTCTATTGAATGAATATGTAAATGTAATTTTTATTTTTGATTGAAAATATTCAAGGCACTTTCTTTCGTTGTCACTCTCGGAGCATCCAGAGTCACCGAATATGCTAGAAACTGAACATCGTAATTATGAAGTTATCAAGCTTTTATGAAATCGTTCCACTTTCAAATAATTTCAAAACCCTAATTTATTTAGTAAGATTCACTTAATGAAAAAAAAAAAAATACACTGGAAACTTTAGCCAAAGAAAAGAAAAAAAAAAGATTACAGTGGAAACTTCTTGACATCAAAAGGGAAAAGGAATTACACAGGAAACTTCTTGACATCAAAGGAAAGAAATAGGAATACAACGGAAACTTTCTAGGTTACTTGCTCAGCAATCAATACACTTCAAATCTTTAGTCGACAAGAAACAATTGGAGATATCTCATAACATCGTCAACAAACAAAGATTCCCATGTACTTGAATCTACGAACGCGAATCCGACTTTATCAAGAACCTCGCCGTTAAAACTTGGCTTGACGTCTCCCACAAGGTTGCTACTTTTAAAGTAGCGGCTTTCCGGCGCCGGAAGTTCATCGGTGAACCATCCAAGCTTAGTGTCTAACGACTTCACAGTATCTTTGATTGTGAAGAGTCTTCGATAATCCTTGACCACCACTCGCCACAACATCCTCACTTCTTTCATACCGGCGGTGAATCCCGAGTTGCTAACATCAGCTACGATTTGGAACCGCTCTTTGGAACCAAACGCAAGATCCTTTCCCTTTTTCACAATTGTTGCTTGCGTTGATCCTGTTGACATGTGGACTATGAAAATAAGATCAGAGAGAGAGATCTTTGGTTTCGATGGTTGATTTCTGCGACAACGTTTAGCGTCAGATTGAACCGCGGAGACTATGCGTTTGAATGAATCGCCAATCATAGTTTCTTCGGTGTTTGCAAAATAAGAAAGATCGTTATGCATGGTTAAAGTAGACTTCCATAGATTCGCGTAGGAGAAACACTGCAACCACGTGGTCGAGACGCAACAAGCGATGGCTAGAGTCTCAGGCTCCATGTAAGGGGCAAGAACACTGAGAATCTCCCAAGACGGTGGAATCGGCTCTCTATATTCATGCATAGCCATGAGTACGACATTATCTATCTCGTTTTCGCGTTTGCGTTTGAGGGGCTTTTGTTGTTTCACGGCGGTTGGAGAGGACAACACACGTGGAATGACCAAGGTAGAGATTGATGACACGTTTGGAGACATGTGGAGAAACTTGGTCTGATTTTTTTCTTTTTCTAATACACTTGTTTATTTTGGAATGAACGATCTATGTTACTAGGATCCTTATTTATATAGCAGTTTAGATTTTACTTCCAAATGAATCAGGAAACGTTAATAAAATAGAACCAAAAATTTAAACAATGGAGTTATATTAGGAGTAGGAGTACGGAAATAAGATTTTCTCTAAGGAAAACGATTTATATTCCGATCACTTACATTGGCGGCTGCTTCTTAAAACATGTTTTTTGTTAATTAAAAGAGGGAGATAATAACGTTTCTCTAAAGTACTTGAAACCAAATCAATTCAGATATAATTTGCTTTTTAACTTTATTTTTAGGGAAATTGTGTGCAATAACCAAAAAAAACAACAACTAATACTTTAGCCAATTAACCTAGATCTAATGATCAAGATTTTGTCACATAAATCAATT